GCGATTGACGATTTAAAAACAAACGTCAATAAATATACAAGAGGCTAAAATAGTTATTCATTAACAATGATTGCTACTGTTATGATCAAAATTAGCAATGGATATCAGTACACAGTTACAAAGGCAAAGTCAATACGAAATTACAAAGAAGAAAAGTTAAGGCATCATATGTCTTAATTACAATTCGCCCCATACCAAACGAATTCTTTCCCTAAGTCTCCCCTAGTCCTCGCTCTGCCAAGAAGAAGTGATATTCAATTCAGCCACAACATCATCAGCAACTTCCAGCTTCTTGTACTGCTCGACCAAAGACTTGGTTCGCTCGATTCCTTGGGAGGCATTGCGTTTTTTTGCAGCCATTCTCGCCTTACAGTCATCCACCTTTGCTTGAAACTCCTTCATTTGTGCAGCCAAACTGGTCGTCAAAGAGTCTTCAATCATGACTTCAGAAGAGATTTCTTTCAATTCGTCCTCAACTTCGTTGATCTCCAGAAGCAAAGATTCTCTTTCAGATACAACGCGAAGATATTGAGTACTTTTGGCCTTCAGTTCAACATTTTTGGCCAGCAAGGAGATGACCTCGGAATGGACAACTTTCAACGTCGCTTTAAAATCAGCAGAAAGATTGAGCGACGGAAGTGTCAGTGCTTGCTCCAATTTCGCATTCAAATGCTCAAACTTATCCTTATGCTTGGCAGCACTAGCATTACCGATGTCCATGTCCATGTTCATGAAGGACACATACTCAAATATCGACTGTTTGAGGAACTTCATATCTTCCTCTGAAGAAGCAGAAGGACAACTGGTTGAAGCAGGGCGAGATGTCTTGACTTGCCCCTAGGAAGTGAACAAGTCTTGGATGAAACACACAATTTTATCAGCATCCTGCAAATAAAGTTGCCAATATTGAAGGTTTTCACTATACTAAACAAAGTGGAGGTAAAGGTGAAGCAAAGATTACCTCATCAGCAATCTTGAAAGGTGGCATATCCCCAGCCAAATCTACCACCTATGACTCCACCATTCGTGAGGACTTCCCCTTGTCTAATCGAGAAGACCTTGTCGCAATGGGCAGACTCATGGGAGCATCTGCAGAACTCAAAAAGAAACAAATCAAAACCAATAGCACAAGCAAAGGTAATGTATCAAAAAATGAATTACCTTCTGCTTCGACGTTTGGGGGGTCAACGCCCTGGGAAGAAGGTGGTTCGTCCATTGGTTGTGATGAAGATTCTGGGACTGAAGATTTCTCTTTAAGCATAGTCCCTTTATCAGTTGGTTTGGACGAAGCAGCCCCAGTAAAGGATGATGGAGCAGGAGCTGCCAACACCAAAGCCTTCAAGGGAGAGGTTGAACTTTTCTGAGAAGTCCAAATAAACTATCAGCACATAGAAAAGTTTCAAGTATGAAAATGTATGCTTATGAGTAAACCAATTTAATTACCTTCATCCTGACGATTAGAGGGGTATCATCATCATCATCAGCATCATCTTCCAAAATGGGAGATGCTGAGATTGGCCGTTTGCGGCTTGGGGCACTTTTAGCTGTAGTGGACTTGGCAGGAAGAGAAGTCGATGGACAGGCAGATTGTTTAGCACGAGCAGAGGAAGAGGGACTCCTAATGGACACAGGAGTGACCAAAACAGGAGAGGTGGAAGAAATGTTTGGCTGGTCCAGTGAATGGAAAGCACGATTGGCATCAGTCGCAAATAATCGGTTTCACTGACTGTCAGAGTCGTTCAAAAAGGGGATGGATGGCACGGCTAGGATTAAAGGGGGCTAATGAAAAGCTACTCGTCAAAAGAATATTGCGAGCATTTATAGCCTCTGCCTCTGCCTTATTAATGTTGTGGAAGTGGTCTATCAAATTCCTTGAATAGCAAGGGGGAATGGGCCAAGTTTAGCCAAAACCAAGTTCGCGAGCAAAAAATTGGGGAGCATATATTTCTACCCCAGCTTTGGCATTGGTCCCAGTCAAAATATCATGGAACAACTCCCTCCCGGTCAAAAACTGAATCGAAATGAACAAGGAAGTGTTCGCACTATTCAGAGTGGATGGAGGTTGCACATAATTTGGAGTCAAAAAGGGAGGAAAAGGAAAGAAGGAAGGGATTGAATCCAAAGTATAAAAGAATAAAAAAATGTCCCTTCTGGACATATTTACAGGAGTCAGGGGATCAATGGCTAGCCCATATCAGCTAGCAGAAGGACTAGAAAAAGATGGAGCACCAAGCGATGGAAAATAGGCTCTCAACCACATTTGAGTGAACCAAAGAGGCCTACTGCCAGTGGGAGATGCACCATTCTTCAATTGGGATTGAAGAAAAGCCATGCCTCTATAGAGGGCAGCTAAAAAGAAAGAACACAAATTCAGAGGCCTACCACGCGCTAATTCGTGCGCTATGGGTAATAGCTCATGAAGGGCTTTATGCTTGGCACACACAAAATGTATATACAAACCCAAATCAGAAGGAAGGCCACTCGCTTAGTATGAGAAGGCTCAACGCTCGAGTAGTTATGAATCGTTTGCAGGCTGGAATAAGACTTGGTGAGTCCTCTATCAAATTTTGGGGCAACACCAGAAATCAAAATACTAGGGAAAATGGTATCACCCAAAAGTGACAGATTTACTAGGGCCCTAACATCCCTTAATGTAATGGACATGCGACCAAGAGGGAAAATAAAGGCATTAGACTCAGAAGACCAAAAACTTAAAGCGATTGGAAAAAGTGCTGAGTCAAAAATAGGGGGTTGAAGAGAGATTTTTAACAGATCAGAAATTCTAGTATTATCAAAAATTGTCTTAGTAGGACCATGGTCCACAAGGCGAGCATGCCATCTACGAAAAACGATATCAGATTTAGGCCAAGTGCGAATATTTCTTTCGCGAAGTGGCCCCAGCGGCAAAAAATTTAGAAACGGAGGGCCTTGAGTACAAGGGAACAGCTGACCGACCGCTACTTGTTCGATGGCCTCGGCATTGTTGAATAAAGGACCTAGATAGAACTCGTTGAGTTCGACATTGGCTGGTGCAAGAAAGTTCGGAGTTATATATGGTCGAGTAAGGAGTTTCTGAAAGTCTTCGAAACTGAAGGAGTCACCAGACTGGGATTGTGAAGTAGCCATTAGGAACGAAATAGAGTTTGTCGAATTTTGCTTAAGAAACGTAGCAGAGAAGCAAAAAGATGAACAATAATATTGCGAGAGAGAAGCGCGAGAAAATGAGGCGTGATTTAGTGGTGCAATAAAATGACGTGTATTTGAGGGTTATAAGGGTTTGCAAACGTCGCACTTTTTCAGGCTATGGAAGAAAACAATGATTGAAATTCTTGGAAATTTCGAATGTTGCTGGGAAACACTAAGTGAATATGGCAAAAATTAATAATTGGTATTGATTCTGCCATATTGGGGGATAATTGTTGACACACAAAGAGTTCAGCACAAATCGAATAGCCTAAGGAATGAAGCCCAATTGGAGGATCCCCAAATCAGATAACCCAAAGAACGGTCCAATCAGGCAGTTCAAGATAAATGTCCAAATAGGAAAACTAATAAACGCGGTAATACCATCGTCCAAGCCTGCAAGTCCCCCAAGATTTGAGCGAATGAATTGTCATGCAGTCGCCCAAAGCTGTGACCCTGTTCTCGCCCCAAACATTCGAGTCGCCCAGCATCTTAACAAACATAAGATGTTATGGTTACCTAAAAGTGAAGTTAATGAAGCAGTTATTGGGTAGTCCTATCACGTTCCACGATTCAAGGAATTCAATTGAAGACAGTTGAACGACAAAAATTAATGGCAGCAGTTAGAGAAGGCAGTTCCATGACAAGTTGGCCACTACGAAGAAAGTGAGCAGTTATAGAGCGATCAAACAGTTTTTAAGCGATTGATCACGAAGAGATCATCCAGGGAGTATAAAAAGAAGAAAAGACATAGAGCAAGGGACCCCGAATCAAACACTCTCAAACAGAGAATATGTAACTTTCAATTTCTTAGTTTAGATTTAAACACTTTTTTTCAATAACTCGTGTGCTTGCGCCCCTTGGAGGCATTCTGTTTTTATTTTCCAATTGTAAAGTCATCGTCAATAAAAACACCTCTTTTTGGGACTTTGTCTCAAGAAGTTTATTCCTTACACAATCGTCTGATCCCTTTTTAATTGTTAGCGACTAATCCGCGCGAAACAGACACCATATAGAATTTCGAACCTAAATTATAAATAGAAAAATGACCATATCAAAATCTTAATTTAAAGGATAAATCTAAAAGTAGATAATACTAAAATCCTAAAATTGTCAAAGTAATCGATTATTTTCATATTCGGGCTGCATTATCCAGATATAGGCCATATTGGAATTTAATTGAAAAAGAAAAATTCTAGTATATTTTGCCTTGTTACTACAGGAGGCTTGTAGATTTATCAATCTTATAGTCTTTTGTTAGAATTGAGTTGTGACCCAAATTCTTATTGAGTGTTTAATTGGAAATACTGTTGAATGAGTATTGGGAGTTGGTAGTAGAATGAAATATATGTTAAAGAAGTCCAAGATGAATTTGACTCCCATTTCATCCCAAATTCATTATTGAATTTACTTGGACTTCACCTTATATTAAACGTTTCATATATTAATTTTCCTAATATGTTAAGAATTCTTTGATTATAAATATGTGGTGTACAACATATATTGAAATTGAATAATTGTCCAATTAGTTATTGATTCAAAGAGATCACTTGTAATTCCTTACTATTGATTATAGTGAATTCTTTAGTTTTCCCTGATTTAGATTTCCCCACAAATCTTGTTTCTTTGTGATCCATTATTTTCATATTATTATCATCTTTATTATTTGGCTTAGTTCTCAACGGCCTTGGTGATGAAATGTCTAGCGCACCTAGTTGAATCTTATAGACTTGAACTTTTCGCCTTTATTTGGCGTAGCCAAAATCATAGTTTTACATTTTTTGATAAAAATCGGTAAAATGTATAGTGTGATAAAAATGGAATGGCGATGCTCCACGCCTGTGTTGTTGTTTTCATGCAGTGGCACGCGTAAACATTTCGATGTCAGCTACCAACTAGTCAATACCTGTATATTTCACCCTGAATCTAACAAGCTTCAATACGAACTTATTTCTCTATATACACACCTCAAGCTGCAGCATCCCAAAGAAAGCCAAGAATCGATGGCAGTCAAGGACATTAGACCAGATGTACTAGCTGTGCCATTTCCAGCACAAGGGCACGTCATGCCACTCATGAAATTGTGTCGAAAACTTGCGAATCGTGGGATTAAGGTTACATTTGTTAACGCAGAACACATATATGAAAAAGTAATTACTGCAATGTCCGAGGAAGATAAGGAGAAAAGTCACTTAGAACTACTTTCGATTCCTGATGGACTGCAGACTGAGGAAGATAGAAAAAATGGGTTGCTAGAAAGTCTCAGAAGAACCATGCGGGGAAATTTGACGCGTTTGATTGAAAAGATTAACTGTGAAAACAGTGATGAAAAGATTAACTGTGTCATAGCTGATACGACATTAATTGGGTGGATACTCGACGTTCCCAAAAAGGTGGGAGCTGAGACTGTAGCCTTTCAACCAGGTGCAACCGCAGACATGGCCCTCATTCTTCAAATTCCAAAGCTTATTCAACTAGGAAATCTGGATGCTAATGGTAAAGTTAATAAGTTATAAATGGGTGCTTTCTTTCTCTGTCCATTGAATTGTAGTGTGATCCCTATTCCCTTCTATAACAATTTGCTAATACGTGCAGGATCTATCATGAAAAATGAAATGATCAACCTGTCCAGTGAAATACCGTCATGGAGAAACAGTGAACTTCCCTGGGGCGTCTCAAGTGACTTAAAGGCTCGAAAGATGGTCTTTGAATGCTGCCAGACTGCTCAACAAGCACTACATCAAGCTAAGTGGCTGATCTGCAATACATTTTATGAACTTGAATCATCAGCTTGTAATTTGATTCCCAATATTTGCCCTGTCGGCCCATTGCTTAGTAGTAATAGTTCTTCCAATGGTGGGAGCATTTGGGCAGAGGACAGAACTTGTTTAAATTGGTTAGATAAACAACAAATTGGCTCAGTGATCTATGTTTCTTTCGGAAGCTTAGCTGTTTTGTCTCAGGAACAATTTCATGAACTGGCTTTGGCTCTTGAACTTTGTGGTCGACCCTTTCTATGGGTTTTCAGATCGAACTTTGCCAACCCAAATGACTTTGAGCAAAGAGTAACAGAACGCGGAAAAATGGTCGATTGGGCACCTCAAGAAGAAGTGTTGGCTCATTCTTCTGTGGGCTGTTTCTTAAGCCATTGTGGGTGGAACTCAACTATGGAGGGTATAAGCATGGGGGTCCCCTTCTTGTGTTGGCCCTACTTTTTAGATCAATTTCACAACCAGAATTATATTTGTGATATGTGGAAGATTGGTTTGAGGCTGAACCCAGATGAGAATGGACTCAGATCAAGGCATGAAATTAACACTAAAATAGAAATGTTGTTTTCTCACAATAGTATTAAAGCCAATGCTTTAAAATTGAAGGAAGTGGCTCTCAGGAGTATTTCCCAGTCAGGAACTTCTTTTCAGAATTTCGAAACATTCGTTGATTATCTGAAAAAATGAAGAGGATTGTGTTTGTCTAGTTTTATTTCATTAATCGATAAATAGTCTTGTCGTGCTTCTTCAATAATTATATTAATATGTTGTGTTCTTTTGAGAAGAAAACCTTATATTTTCCTTGATCTTCACCTCAAGTAAGTAAGACTTTAACAAGTTAGCCGTATACTGAAAATATATAAATAACTTCATTTATTTTGTAAAATGAAAAATGGAAATTCTTACTTGTTATATAAAAATTAAGCAATCAAGTAGTAATTTTTTAAAACTAGTTTTTTAGTTTGCAGCTTAAATTTAATTTCTTAATATTTTTAAATCAGGTTACGAGTGTTATATCATTCTCCAACCTTGTTTTGTGTATTTTTCTTGGTTTTTGTTCTTCATATTTCTGCAAGGAAGCTTAAAATAAAAAATAAAAAAAAAAGAAAAAAAAAAAGAGGACAAATATGAATATTGTTAACAAAGAAATGTAAAGATGTAAGTGTTAAAAGTGTTATATAATTTAATATAATCCATTGACTTTACACGAATCAACAAGATTGAACTTTATGTGTGCCTTTCTCACACGTTCTCGTGTGCCTCACATTAATGTAAGCATAACTATTTTATGATGTTCGTATAATACAAAATTCTGGTGTTAAATAAACTTATCAATGCATATAGTAGAGATCGAACAATTGCATCGAAAACTGAAAGTGTAGATGCATTGAATCGATAATTTTATATAAAGCTTCTAGGTTGGGAAACAGTACTATAGTCAGTGTTTTGAAAGGTGCAGGCACCATTGAGACGCGATGCTCGACGAAAACGCCAAGCCACCTTATTTAGCAGTCAACGGCAACCATTGATAGCTAATTATCATTCTTCCCCTTTTTTTTTCAATTATTTTAAATTAAAACTTAAAGGTTGATTTCTTCACTTCGTCTGCCCTAAATTCAAAATAGTTGCTTGAAGTCTTGAACTAAGAAAAACTTTAAAAAATTTCTATTTATTTACTGTTTAGTATTTACATTTGAAACTTATCTTTTTGTTGAAAACATTGAAAAAAATGTACAAAATTCCTATAAATCTGTTTTAGACGTTTGGTAGGTATTATTTTTAATTTTTAAATGATTTTTTGATTGATTAAAAATTAGAATAAATATTAAAATAAGAAAATGTATTTTACTCTTTTTTATTCCTATGATTCGCCTAAACTCATCTAGCTCATAGTTTGACCTCCAAACATCTCACGTATTATGTATTTTAGAATACAAACTATAGTATTCCGTTTATCATAGTATTCAATTCCTCTAATAATCAAATATTTATTGTTTAAAGATGAGGGCGTTTGGTGGGAATTGAAATTAGATTTTTTTTTTTTTTAATATATTGTGAGTAGAAGTTTTAAATGTGTGATTGAAAAGTTACGGGACTCATGAAAGATGTAATTAATATTGATTATTTGACTTTGACTTAGATTAAAATCGGATTTTAATTCAAACCAAACACGTTCTTAAGTTAAAAAAACCTTCGACTCAATTAACGATTTGGGTCCGAGAGTTCAAACTTTTTTGTTCTTTGCGCCCAAGCAATTATGGATTTTTTTTTAATCTTTTCACACACTTGATGTTACACTTCTTTTAACTCTCAACACAAAATTAGATTAAAAAGTGACTTATAATAATAACCTTTTTATGCAAGATAATCATAACATTTTACCTTGTAATGACAAATTTACCATTCTCTTTAAATAAATAAAAAGAAAAGAAGAAGAAAATAAATCATTAATTGCAATCATAGATTCAAAATTTTCAAAAAGTGCAAATGAATCATGTTGACATCTAAACTCCGATCGAATAAAAATAGTTCGCTAACCCCATCCCAGTTAAATATGAGTTCGGTCCTTACTCCCAGGTCGGACAATCCCGCCATTATCTCAGAAAAATATCATGATTATCCCCTGTCACATCACCTATCAATCAAATACACTTGCCACATGTGACATCACCACCGCCCGGAACAACCAATCCTAAGTCCTCAACCTCCAGCCCTCTTGCAGGTCATTATTACCTGGGGAAAACATTGACACATGGCTAACTGGCCTCATCGACCAATCACAAGAGAATCTGGCGACCCGAGTTCCGAGTTCAGTACTATTGTTGATTTGATGTAATGTCGACTGAAACTATGTATAAATAGTTTAATAGGACTCTTGTAAAGGGCAAGTGATTTCATACAACGACTGAAGGCATAATTACACTCTCTAAACATATTTTGTAGTCTTTTTTCAACAATAAATCGCTCTTTTTTTCTTAAAGTTGGCTTAAGATTAGCTTTACTAATTTTGACGTCAACAGTTTGGCGCTAGAAGGAGGGCCCTAATTGTGAAAAATAGTCTCATTCTCTCCACAAAATCTGAGAGCCATGAGTCGTAGCTCAAGTTCCAGAAATTCATTTCACACCCACCCTCATGAAACGAATACACCACCAAGTTCTCCACGACGGCAGGACCCTCAAATGACCGCCATGAGGAAAACCTGTACCAGCAATCAACGCAACTCCCCGGGAGTGCATAAGGCAAACGTATGAGAATCCGAGCTCATTCCACTAGACCCGCGGACCAGGATCGAAGGAGGAGAACCTGTCGAAGAACTAGAAGGAGTTCAAGTCTGTACCAATAACCCAACAAAGGAGCTCAAAGTCGGGCGCTAGCTGCAGCCATCTACCCGAAACGAAATTGTGGCCTTCCTTAGACAAAACCTTGATGTCTTCGCCTAGAATCACGGGGACATGAGAGGAATAGACCCCCACATCACATGCCACAAATTACAGGTGGATCCTTCAGTTCAGGCAAAGCAGCAAAAACGACGACCTCTGAACCCTGAAAGATATGAAGCACTCAATAAGGAGGTGCAAAAACTGTTGCATAACAGTTTCCACCTTAAGGCCAAATACTCGAAGTGGGTCTCAAATCCGGTCCTTGTGAAATAACACAACGGAGGTTGAAGGGTATGCATAGACTTCACCGACCTCAACAAAGCATGCCCAAAAGACTGTTTTCCTTTGCCAAGAATAGATCAAATGGTGGACGCCAATGTCGAACACGAACTACTCAGCTTCATGGATGCGGATTCCGGATATAACTAGATACCGATGTACGGCCCAGATCAAGAACATACCTCATTTGTAACTGACCGAGGTCTTTATTGCTACAGAGTAATGCCATTTGGTCTCAAAAACGTTGGTGCGACCTACCAACGACTAGTGAATTCCATGTTTTCCCAACAGATCGGAAAAACAATGGAAGTGTATGTTGACGATATGCTGGTCAAAAGCATCAAGGCCAAGGATCATTGTCAGCACCTGACCGAGATATTTGATATACTGAAGAAGTATGGAATGAAGTTAAACCCAAGGAAATGTGCTTTCGGGGTCAGCTCTGGAAGATTCCTAGGTTACATTGTGAACAACCGAGGAATCGAGGCAAATCTCGAAAAAATACAGGTTGTCATCCAAATGAGGCCTCCAACTAAACCTAGAGAAGTACAAAGTTTAACCGGAAGGATTGCCGCCCTCAGCCGGTTCGTCTCCAAGTCTACGGACCGTTGCAAACCTTTCTTTGACACATTAGAGGAGGAAAGAAGTTCGAATAGACCAAAAAATGCCAAGACGCCTTTAACGAGCTAAAGAGACAACTTTGCTTTCAAAACCTAAGGCTGGCGAGGTCCTGAAGCTTTATTTATCTGCTTCAGAACATGCCATTAGTGCGGTTCTAATCCTAGAAGAGAACGGTATTCAACACCCAGTCTATTACGTAAGCAAGGCGCTTCACGAAGTCGAGCTCAAATATTCACCTGTAGAGAAACTGGCATTCACCCTGCTGATGGCCGCGTGAAAACTAAGGCCATATTTTTTAGAACACCCCATTGAAGTCCTCACTAACTCTCCATTAAGGTAAACACTACAAAAACCTGACACTTCAGGTCGGATGGTAAAATGGGCAGTCAAGCTCGGACAATTCGACATAAAATACACGCTACGTTCCTCCATCAAGGGAAAAGCACTCGCCGACTTTGTCTCTGAGTTCTGCAACGTCCCAATCAAGGAACTACAAGAAGAAACCCCATGGAGACTTTATGTCGACAGTTCATCCACCGAAGAACGGTCTGGGGTAGGCGTCGTATTAATCAGCCCTGAACATCGCATATTCTGCGAAACCTTGCCATTTGACTTTAAAGCCTCAAACAATAAGGCAGAGTATGAAGCTCTCATTGCCTGCACAAGGATGGCCTCAGGGCTGTGGATCTCCGACTTGATCATACACAATGTCTCTCAACTAGTCGTAAATCAGGTCAACGGTGTATATATGGCGAAAGAAGAAAGAATGGACAACTATCTACAAGTTGTAAGAAAAGAACTTGAAAGGTTCAACACCACCGAAGTCAAGCAAATTTCCCGATCGCAAAACGGTCACGCTATGATGATAGCATCTCCGTGGAAAGAATATCCCTACCATCTATCGAGCTGGACGAAGTTGTCCATATGATGATAGACCCCAAACCAACCTGGCAGGATGAGAACGTCACCTACCTAAAAATCGGGAACTGTCCCGAAAATTTTGTAGAGGCTAGAAAGCTTCGAATCAGGTCGGTCAGGTATACACTCATTGACGATGTACTATACAAACGGGGATATTCTACACCTTTGTTAAGGTGTTTAAACAAAGAAGAAGCTTAGCATGCCCTGCAAAATGTTCACAAAGAAATATGAGGAAACCATTCAGGTGGGCTCTCACTAGCCTACAAGATCACACGACAAGGATACTTATGGCCTGCAATAAGACGTGATTCCCTTGAATTTTTCAAAAGATGCGACAAATGCCAGCGCCTTGCCCCCATCATAAACGCTACACCGCACAAGTTGAACCCAGTAACAACATCTTGGCCCTTTGCGAAATGCGGGGTCGACCTAATTGGATCTATGACCATTGGAAAAGGAGGTGTAAAATTCGTCATCGTCGCAATTGATTACTTCACCAAATGGGCCGAGGTAGAGCCACTTGCCAAGATCACCGAACAG